GGTGTTTCTTGGCATCGGCTTCCACTGTACGCGCCCAACCACGTACATGAGCACGGCCCCCCAATCCACGAGACCAGCTGCGTGATACGAACGTTCGAGCAATACGTGCTCTCGAAACCCAGGTGGATTCATGTACGTGTACGCCTTTCTTTCGCTGCTAATCCCTGTCCTCCCCGCCGAACCGTAGGGTGTTGGCGGCGGCTGGGGGACCTAAGCTGGTTGGGCAACGAGAAAATCGGTCCAGAGGGTGGGGAGGGGGTGAAGGCAAATCCGTTCAACATCGGCGCCCGGACCCCTCCTGGTGTTCCTCTGGTGCAGCGTCACATCCTGGACCTTTTTCTGACGGTCCCAGGAAGCAGAAGCAGTCCCCGGGACCGAAGAGGCAAACGACCTTCTCGAACACCTCGCCAAACCTTCTTGCTGGCAGCACCAATGCTGGACCACCTCAAACCCCCAGCCGACTCCAAGTATAGGGGTCCGAGTAGATGGGGTCGTAGGATCGCGCCGCATCGCCGATACATCAGCGATGCATCGGCGATGCATCGGCGATGCACCCGCGCTGCATCAGCGACGTCAACGATGCATCGGCGACGTCGACGTGAAGCCAATCGGGTCCCACATCGAGCCAATCGGCGATGCATCGCCGCTGCATCGGCGATGCGCCGCGATCCCCCGACTCAATCTACTCGGACCCCACCTACGAGGCCTAGAGGGAGGGAGAGGCTGCCCCGGGGATGGGGAGGGAGAAACACTGCCTGGGAGTCGGCGACGCTTCGCCGACAGATCAGAGACAGGCCCCCGAGAGCGAAACCGCCCACGCTCCTGGACAGGCTGGGGCACCCAGGCCCCGATCGGCGAGGAGAAGGGGCGGTGGTGGGCGCAGGCTTCCCCCTGCGAGCCTGCCCCGCCCGATGATCCTCGCCGTCTGGTTGTCGGGGCTCCTATCGACGATCAATGGGCGATTGGGGGTCCATGCTTCCCCTGGGAGAACAAAAAGCCGACACCAGCACCAAGAAAGTATTTGTTTCACGAAATGTCGAATTGCGTTTTGGACCTAGTTCTTTTCTAGTGGCTTCTTGGTGTTGGTGTCGGGTTCCTGTGCGCCGATCCCCGTTCTGAGCCTATCCCTGCCAAGGATCCTCCGCGTCTGGTTTTCGGGCCTCCGGCGGCCGTGCGGGACGATCCTGGCACCCCTTGGCACGCTCTCGACGGGGCGCAGCCGGTGGAGGCCACCCCTGGTCTGGAAAACGTGTGGGAAAAAATGGAAAACTCCTCCCCATTCAACCTACCCCCTGCGAAATGCTTAAGAAATCCTGGGTTAAGAAATTCATAGTCTCAGAACTTGAATAATAACCCAACGTTTCCATTAAAACCTTAAGATTTACATTGAAATATTAAGAATAATCGAGACTATGGCCGAAAACTTAGGTTTTCTTAAGCATCGCCTAAGGTGGATTCCTCCACCCATCCAGCGGGCCTCGGAAACTCTGAAAAACTTCAAAAACCTCCCCCAACAAAAAACCTTGATGGGCTGATTTTTCCACCACTACCACCGTCACTACGATAAGCAGGACGGGGAAAAGGGAGGATGAGGACGTCTTCCTCCTCCTCCTCCTCTTCGAGGCCGGGGGATTGTGGAGTCGCACGTCGTTTTGATATGATTTTTATTTAGTGGAACGCTCCTTCATCTTTAAAATTTGGTATTGTTTTGGCATGTTTCTGTTCGCCGTGATACCCTCATAATATGCTTCTCTCGTCATATCGCTATCTCGTGTTCTCTCTCTCTCTCTCTTTATCTCTCTCTGTCTATCTCCTGCACCAGGCCAATGCATGTCGATGCGATACCAATCCCTTTGCCAACCAATGCCAATGCCAATGCAATGTGAATGGGGGAATCCGCTCGCTCGGCGGATTTCAATCAGAATCCTTTGTAAACGGTGTCATTACGAATCCTTCTTCGGAGGATTTCAATAGGAATGCCTCTGTGGAGGGTTTAGATAGGGATCCTCTTGTGGAGGGTTTCACAGGGAATCCTTCCTGTGGGGGGTTCAGTGGGAGTCCTTCTGCGGAGGGAGCCATAGGACTCGCCAGCGCAGTGCCAATGCAATGCCGGAGCAGTGCCATCGCAATGCCAAACCAATGCCAAGGCATGGTAGATGTCAAAAAAGGAATCCTGTTCCTGGAGGGTTTCAATAGGAATCGTTGCGCGAAGGGAGGCACAAGGACTCGCTAGCGCAATGGAAGCGCAATGCCAAAGCAGTGCCCAATGCAATGCCAATGGGGGAATTCTTTCGCTCGGCGGATGTCAATCAGAATCCTTTCTGGATGGTGTCATTACGAGTCCTTCTTCGGAAGATTTCAATAGGAATGCCTTTGGGGAGGGTTTCGATAAGGATCCTCCTGTGGACGGTTTCACAAGGAATCCTTCCTGTGGGGGGTTCAGTAGGAGGCGGAGGGAGCCATAGGACTCGCCAGCGCAGTGCCAATGCAATGCCGAAGCAGTGCCATCGCAATGCCAAACCAATGCCAAGGCCATCCCAATCCAATGCCAATGCAATGCCAATAGGGGGGGATCCTTTGTTATATATATATATATATATACATATATATTCCCACAGGAATCTTGCTTGTGGAGGGTTCCCAATAGGGTTTCAATAGGAATCGCCAGCGCAATGCCAAAGCAGTGCCAACTCCATGCCAAACCAACGCCAAGGCGATCCAAACTTAATGCCAATGCAACCTCAATGGGGTGGATTGCTTGTGGTAGCGTTCAATCGCATTCCTTCTAAGAATCCTTCTGTGGATGATGTCATCCACAAGGGAATCCTTCTAAGGACCCTTCTTCGAAGGATTTCAATAAAGAACTCGCACGGAAACCTTATGTGGAGGATTACAGTGTGAGTCATTATTGTGGGGGGGTCCGTATGCATCATTCTTGTGGACGCATTCGATCGGAATCCTTGTGTGGAGCGTTTGGTTGGGACTCGCCAGCGCAATGCCATCGCAATGCAAACGCACTGCCATCGCAATGCCAACGCAATGCCAATGCGATGCCAATCCGTTACCAAACCAACGCCAATGCAATGCCGATGACATGATTCCAGTCGTTCAACAGGTTCCAACAGAAATCCTTAGGTGGATGATTTGACTACGGATCCTTCTTCGGAAGAAATTGATAGGAATCTTCTTGCGGAAGGTTTCGGCAGGAATCCTTCCGTGGAGGGTTTCATCATGAACCCTTCATGTGGGGTACCCTTCGTGTGGAAGGTTTCAATCGGAATCTTCCTGTGGTGAGGGGCATTAGAAGTCGCCAGCGCAATGCCAAAGCAGTGTCACCGCAATGCCAAACCAATGTCATGGCAATCCCAATCCAATGCCAATGCCATGCCTGGGGGAAATCGCTTGTGGCCGGTTTCAATAAGAGTCCTTCGATGGAGGGCTTCGAATGGAATCCTGCTTTGAAGGGGTTCAATGTGAACCCTTACTGTGGAATGTTTCACTCGGAGTCCTTCTTGTGTGGGGTTCAATACGAATCGTCCTGCGAAGGGAGGTATTGGAACTCGCCAGCACAATGCCAGCGCAATGCCGAAGCGGTGCCAACGCAATGCCAAACTAATGCCAAGGCGATCCCAACATAATGTCAATGCAATGCCAATTAGAAAAAGCATGCGCGATAGATTTCAGTAGGAATCCTTCTGTAGGGGGCTTCGCATGGAATCCTTATGTGTAGGGTTTCAATATGAAACCTTTTTGTCGAGGGTTTCAATAGAAATCCTTCTGGTAGAGGGTTTCAATCTGAGTCCTTTTGTGGAGGGTTCCATTAGGACCCGCCAGCGCAATGCGTGCGACATGCAAACGCAATGCCAACGCACTGCCAAGCGCTATGCCAACGCAATGCCAATCCGATACCAAACCATGGCCACACCAATGCCAATGCAATGCCAACTGGAGTATACATATATATATATATACATATACATATACCTTTCGAAGCATATCAGTAGCAGAAAGCTTGATTCTGGAGGCAGGAGGAGGAGGAGGAGGAGGAGGAGGAGGAGGAGGAGGAGGAGGAGGAGAGGAGGGCGGGGGAGAGAGGAAGGAGTGAGCGGAGCATCGCGGAGGAGGAGGAGCCCCCCCCAAACAAAAGAGAGAAGGAAACAACCAACAAACAAAAGACCGGAGCCCGCGCCGCATTTTTTGTTTGTTGGGGGGGGGGGGTGCAAGAGAAGCAAAAAGCTAGATTCTGGGGCAAAGAGGAGGAGGAGGAGGAGGAGGAGGAGGAGGAGGGAGCGGAGCAGCGCGGAGGAGGAGGAGGAGGAGGAGGAGGAGGAGGAGGAGGAGGAGGAGGAGCCCACCCCCCCAAAAAAACACGGGAGGCCGCACCGCGTTTTTTTTTTCTTGGGGGGGAGGAGAAGAAGAAGCAAAAAGCTAGGTTCTGGGGGAGGGAGGAGGAGGAGGCAGAGGAGAGAGAAGGAGGAAGAGGAGGAGTAGGAGAAGGGGAGGAAAGAGAAAGAGGAGAAGGAGAAGGAGGAGAAGGAAGATGAGGAAAAATGTTCGAACACTTCACGAACAACTGTACGACAACACCCTCCGAAAGGAGTCCGACTCCACAACCCCCCGTTCTCTCCTCCTCCACCTCCTCCTGCGCTCCCTCTTTTTCCTCCTCCTTCACCTCCTCCTCCTCCTCCTCCTCCTCCTCCTCCTCCTCCTCCCACCTGCAGTGGTGGTGGAACATCGGCGCATCACATCGACCCCCCTCTTCCGGCCGGCCGGCAGGGGGGGGGGTCGGCCACACGCAGGAGCGACCCGTCGTCGTCGTCGTCGTCGTCGTCGTCGTCGTCGTCGTCGTCGTCGTCGTCGTCGTCATCGTCTTCGCCGCTGCCCCTCCCTGAGCCAGTCCCCCCCAGACCCCTTGCCGGCTGGCCGGCGCCCCTGCCGGCTGGCCGGCGCCCCTGGCCCTCCCGCCCCCCTCCCCAGGCCCAAGGGGGGCGTCGGCGCGCCATGGCCGCCGCCCAGGAGCTGTTGGCCATGTTCTGCTCGGAGGGCGCCCGCCCCGGAGATCCGACGCGGCGCTCCAAAAACTGTCTGGAGCGGCGGGAGTTGGGCAGTCTTCGACCTCCAGGGGCCCTTGCCAGGCCTCGGTCGCGTCAAAAAACAACTCAGGACGAAAAACCGGTCCTGGGGAAGTGGTCCAGGCCTCTGGGGCCCACGCAGCAAAAAAAGGGGAACGGCCGGATGTCTGGGACTCTACACGTGTGCACCGGTCCTGGCCAGGCCGACTCTTGGCCCAGAGTCGGTGTATACGTCCTCCTGCCTGGGGCCAGGAGGGCGACTGCGCCGATGCCGGTCCCAGGATTGGCCATGTCAGGATCGGTGCGTGCGTGTACAGGTGGCGCCCTCCGATCTGCGTGTCGTGGTCGTCGATGCGCGCCGCCGAGGCCTCTGCAGGGCGGGGATGAATGTCGTGATGGGAGGGGCTCGGGAGCAGCTCGCGGAGCGACTCGTGTCGTGATCGCGGCATCCCTCGGGCGTCCACACCTCGTGCACTGTCTGGACCTGTGCGCCAAGCTCGTCACGAGGTGCTCCAAGACGATCCGAATGATTGCAAAAAACGAAGGATTGCAAAAAAAAACAGGATTTCAAAACGAAGGATTGCAAAAAAAAACCGTCTTCTGGCGCTGGCCCCGCCGACGAAAAGGCACACGTCCGAGAAGTGCCCCGGCGACAGGAATGGCTCAGGACTTGCAGGGCGTCCGGCGGCACTCGCTTCTGCAGCCCGCGCGGGGCACGCGGGAATCCTGGCAACCATAGAGAGATCTGGGAATGCACCATCAACACGACCTCTCGCTCCTCCGACTCTGGGCCCCGAACGGAGGCGGATCCCGCCGGAGACGGCTTCCAGGACCCTGGCGGCTCTCGGGCCTGAGTTGGAGCGAACTCCGAAATCGGATCGAGCCGGAAACGGATCGGAACTGAGCATTTTCGTAGGGTGGAGGGCTCAGGGTGAAATCCGTATGGGCTCTTGCACCTCGAGAAGAAATCCGTCCCGTGATTCACCTCTTGCAAGATTCAAGCCTCGAAAACCAATCGAAACGGCATTTCAGATCTCACCCTGTGCCCTCGCGGGCCCCCGCAGCGGGCGCGTCTCCCCTCCCAAACGAGCGAGAGGACGCGGCGGCCTCCTCCTCCTCCTCCTCCTCCTCCTCCTCCTCCTCCTCCTCCTCCTCCTCCTCCTCCATCCTCCTCCTCCTCCTCCTCCTCCTCCTCCTCCTCCTCCTCCTCCACCCCAAGAGAAAATGCTGGGCCGAATGCCAACGAATATCGCCCCGCATCGAACATCCGAGTCGGATCGCCGCGCCGGGCTCTGGCCGGCCCCGAGAAAGAAAAAACGGTCGCTGGCCTGCCGTGGACATCATCCCTCCAGACCCACCCCATACATCACCTCAAGACCTCCTCCTCCTCCTCCTCCCCCTCCTCCTCCTCCTCCTCCTCCCCCTCCCCCTCCCCCTCCCCCTCCTCCTCCTCCTCCTCCTCCTCCTCCTCCTCGGAAGCGCGGCCCTGGGCGGCGGCTGCTCGCATCCTCCCCCCGAAGAGCTGGGAAGGTCGGCGCACGTGCAACACGTACCTACCGTCGGGGCGTTGACCTCAGGAGCCCCAAATGAGGAACGAGGCCCCTGTTTCCCATCAGTGAAGGTTCGATTTCCCATCGGAAACCTCATCGAAACCTAGGGCAAGCTGTGAAACAATCAAGGAACACCGAGCCCCTCCCCAACGAAAAGGGTTCCTTCTTCAGGGCCCCGACTGTAATCCAATATTTGAGTTCCGAAGTGACGGGAACCCGACAGCTGTGCCGCCAGATGTCGCCTCGGCGCTGCTCTCGTACGACGTCGACATTCCCGACTGTGCCAGGAATGCAAGCGAGGTGTGGTGACAAGGCTCCAGGCGTCCACACCCAATGGCGTGCAGACGTGGCATGACAACGACCACGGCCGCACTATACATACGCCTCGCACCCATCCCTCCGAATCCAAACTTGAAGTGTCCACGTTCTGTCACCCGCACGTTGCCTCGCGCCCGCCCCCGTCAACTTTGGGTTGGGGAGATGGGGCAACCGATATTGCTTTGACGTAACTTGCCCTCGTCGTGGACGCTTTTTTTGTCCAGGCACCGCAAATCTCAAAATGTGGTTCCCACCTTTGCACTGCACAGACCCGTGTACAACAGCCTGAAAGATCTACACGGGTGGAGAGCCGTTCGTTTTCAATCCGGGGGCTCCGCTTGGGACTTCATCGAGCGCGACAGCGGCACGGATGGAGAGCGGCTCCTCTTCAGAAGTGGTGTTATCGCTTGGGACTTCCGAAGGACGCATGTCGATCAATACAGAAGCGCGCAACAGCTACACAGATGGAAGGCGACTGGAAACAAGGCGTTTGCTTTACACTTCCTTGGACGTGATGCCGCTGCCTCGTGTGAGGAGAACAATTTTCGCGTTAGGAGGAAAGGGTTTGGATAATGCAGGGTATGAGCAGTAACATTCGGATGAAATGCACGATCGCTTCGACCGCCTACGGGTAATGAGGGGCAAGTTTGGGCCTTCTGGAGCCCCCTCGTGGAACAGATTGGACCTCCTTGGGGCGCATTGAATCTCGGGCCTTCCTCGATGATAAAGACGACGACGACGCAGACGACAGAACGTAGACGACGACGACGACGACGACGATAACGACGACGACGACGGCGACGGCGACGTCTTCTTCATCGGCTGAGGGGGCCAATGGGTCACCCGAGTTGCAGGCCACAGGGGGGCTCGTCCACCAAGGGCGTGCTTTCCACGCACTTGCAAGAAGACTCGCAGGGTCTCATGCGGAGGGGAGTTGGGATCTCAAGGGGTGTACTGTGGTATCGCTGATGCCATCCCTCCTCTGGTCTTGTGCAGCTGCTGGAGGCGTGAGGGTCCCTCTGAGCGAGGTCGGCGATCGAGCCCAGTCGGCTGAGGAGCGGACCTGGGATCGAGCCCGTTCGGCTGCCCAGCAGGCCAACTTCCCACCACCCGTCGGAATCGGGCCACTTCGGCCGCATACCCGGAGGCCGAGCAGACTCAGACGCCGCATGCGGCTCTGGAGCCTCTCGAGGTCTCGCCCGAGGTCGCGGGAGCTCCCCTGGAGGTTTTCCGACGTCCCTGGAGGGCTCGGGAGGTCTCCAGGCGGCCCGGGGACCACAAGCCTCCTAAAGCGTGATCCTCGCTCCTCCTCGCGGCCTCCGGGAGCTTCTCTGCCTATCCAACGTATCAACAAATATGAAAATCCAACTGCGGGCGCTTGACAACTCCACAACACGGCTGCGAAGCAGCGCAAGTCGGAAGGCCGAATGGCGCCCGTCGAAACGCCCCCGTCTGACCGCAGGTCTGTAGGAGAAGCCGCGGAGCGACCACGGGCAGGAGCCTTCCCCTGAGAAGCGCCATGCCTCGAGCACTGCGTGGCGCGCTGCCCCGGACCCCCCCCCCCTCTTGGCGACTTGGAGGCAGCGCGGTGACGCGCCGCAGCGCGGTGGGCCCGGAGCCCCGGCGGCGCTGCACTGCCACGGCAGGAGCTCCATCACTGCCGCGGGCGGGGCGAGGTCCAGCGGCCTCCAGCAGCCTCTTGAACAGGGGGTCGTCCTTCACGGCCATGGTGGCGAAGGCCCACCTGGGGGGCGCGCAGGCGGGCACGGGCAGGCGGCGGGCCGCGGGCGCGCCCGCGGCAGCCGAAGAGAGACGGGCCCCGCGCGAGAGCCCACCTGGGCGAGGGCGAGGGCGAGGGGGCAGGCGGCGTGCGAGGGCCCGTTGGCGCGACAGCAGCGCCGTGGTGCGCGGTGCCAGGCGTCATCCCTGCAGCGGGGGAGGATGTGGTTCCGACGTCACTCGCAGGGAGGAGGAGAGAGGGAGGGGGGGAGGGCAGAGAGAGGGGGAGCCCCCAGAACCTCCTGCGGGGGGCCCTCCTGGCAGGAGCAGCCAGGGAGGAGGAGGAGGAGGAGGAGGAGGAGGAGGAGGAGGAGGAGGAGGAGGAGGAGGAGGAGGAGGAGGGAGGAGCAAGGAAGGGTGGGAGGAGGGGGGAAGGGGGAGCAGGAGGAAGGAGGAAGAGGGGGGGGAAGAGGGGCAGGAGGATGCGAGTCCGAGGGAGAAGGGGGAAGATGGAGGGAGGAGGGGGCGCAACGACCGATGTACGTCATTCCGAAGGACGTCGGCTGTCGCGCCCAGTCCCCACACATCCTCAGACGTTTCGTTGGCCTGTCCGCCGCCGCCTAACCGCCTCTGCCGAACTGGCCTGCCTTGTGTCTACCCCGCCGCCTCCATTCCTCTCAACTTTCCTCCTCCACTCCTCCCGCCGTCCATCCCTCTGCTCATCCATCTTCCCCCTCCCCCATGACCCCTCCTGCCTACATCCCGCTCATCATCCCGACTGCCTCCTCCCACTCTCCCTCCACTCCAGTCCTCTCCCCACCCCCCTCCCCGCTTCCCCATCAGCCGCCCCCTCCTTCTCATTCTGCTCCTGCCTCTCCTGCACATGCTCATCCTCTTCGTTCTGAGTACTCTCCTGCCCCTCCCGCTCATGCTGCTCCCGCTGCCGCCACACGCACCATCGGCTGTCGCCCCCCTCCTCTTTACGCTCGGCCTCCGCTTCAGCCTCGTCCTCCGCACACACGTCCTCCTCCTCCTCCTCCTCCTCCTCCTCCTCCTCCTCGGAAGTTCCTCCTCCTCCTTCTGCCTCGCGCGTCCTCCTCGATCTGCGAACCTCCCCGGCCAGCGGAGCTGCGTGGATTCCCGACATCTGGCGCATATCAATCCCGAATGGCCGATGCGTGCTACAACCACAGGGCATCATTCATACTTCTGGACTAGCAGAACCTTGACTGAACAAAAACAAGAGATGCTTCTCGGAACCGGACAAGCACATGTGTATACATCTATAATAAAAAATAAGAAAAACTGTATCGGAGGTGAGGGGGTGAGATCGCAGTGAAACGGCGTTCCCCCCATCAGGAAATCGATTCCGGTTTCGTGTTCGTGTCGTGCGTGCGGGCGGGGCGAAGCTGCGCGGGCGGGCGAAAAGAATGACCCCTCCTCTGGCCAGGGCGCCGCTGGGCCAAAG